TAAGAAGAATCAAGTTACATTACTTTGAGATAAAAATATATATTCATAGTTCTGAAAAGGAAGTTTATGATTGCTTGCAAATTTGAAAAAAAAATCACACTTGATCATAGTGTGACAAGAATACAAGATGGACAAACCATAATAATGAAACCACTAAACTTAGGACAAATAATACTAAATGTCAATGTGTTTGTGATTGCATGTCTCCATCTTATAAGTCTTGTGCTCCCCTGGATTGCCTTTTTCATTAATTGTGTTTCTTCAGCAAATGAGTCACACATTCCTGACCCAGGTTCAATATCCAAGGACAAAAAAGTAATTCGTGCACATATGTTCTCTGCACCTGATTGAATTCCTCTTATTCCATATGTAGGGGGTACCTTGCAATTCAATGTCCCACAAGGCCACAAATCAACCATCCTGCAATATATTTGAAGGCCTAATTTTCTGGGATGTCAACTTTCAATTTGACCTCTGTCCCTCAAGTTGACCTGCAGAGAGGCCCAAAACATAAAATTTGATGGATAAAACATTGAATTTTACATTGTCTCAAAATTCAACTGCTTCAAAATTTGACCATAGCCCAGAACAGATTAGGGTCAAATTTCACCACTGCACTTTAAATCATTTGATGTGGACTTTTCTACAGTATAGACAAAAGATAATAACAAATGATGTGGTTTCCTCAAACCTTTTTCTTGACTATTGATTTTTTTTTCCATTGAATGCATCAACCTCAAAATAAGATTTTATTTGAATAAATCTTCAAAAAGTTTGACTTTGGCAATTTCCAATTTTTATTTGATTGAAATTGATAATAGCTTGTTCAGAATTTCAGTTGTAGGTAGTTTGATCAGACATATGTGGATATATAGGTGTTCCAGGGGTAAAAATTGTATAAATTAGATTGTACCTCAAGTGTCCATCTGTGAATGCTAAGTTATTTATATTATCAGTGTTTTAAAATAAAAAGTGAAGGTGGTCTATAAAATACAGCATTGCAAAGGATTGAAAATATGTTGGTAGGAATGCAGTATTGTTATGGATTAAGCAACATCACATGATTGGAATGTTTTGAATCTTGGCAATGTTGTGTTGATCTGATGATGACTCTGGTCTCTCCAGTATGTGAATTGATCAGATAGGAGTTGCCCATATGCTTGCATTCAAAGATATTGGTCCTTTTTTGGGAATGGTTATCAAAAGCTTATTGAATCTTGTGATCAGTTTTTCAAATCATGATGATAACTATAAAGAGATTTTCTGAGAAGGTGCAAGAGTCTTTTATATTGTGCTGATGTTCTCTGAGAGTTCTTTAGCCATGATCAAAAGTGATCAGATTGTAAATGTTGCTCAGTAAGATTGGAGATCTAGTCAATTATTCTTTTCTTGTTGTCTAAACTCATAATTGCCACTACGTTTGTTCATTTATTCTGTGGCTGAAAGAATGCTCTCATTTTAGTGAACACAGACCTTAATTCATAGATAGAATGGTTCAAATCCTAAACCAGTATGAGAGACAACTTTCTTTGAGGATAGAGGATATTTTCTTTTAATTTTTGTTTTCAAAATGTGGGTCTGAATTCCTGCTATGTTTATTGAATGCGTGGTTGTTGGTGTATTCATTCCTTCAGTTCTTCAGAATACTGTATACTCACCTTCACTGTTACTATTACAGTATACAGGGGATCCCCACCTGACTTCTGAAAGATACATTAGCATCAAAATATTTTGAGGCTATAAATGAGAACATTTCATGAATTCATCAGCTGAAATTATTGAAATATTTAACTGATATCTCTGACTATTTTAATTTGGTGCACTTGAGGACAATTTTTCAGAGCCAAATCCCTCAGCTGCTGGTACCCTTAGTACCTGCTCAAAATAATGGAAATCAACACCACTCATGATGCAAATAACAAGTCCAGGGAAAATGCATGGGCATTATTGGTTGAAACAATGGAATTACAGTGGCCCCCCGCCTAACAGACCTCCCCCTGCTCTGTATAGAAATCAGCTTGTGTTTTTGAGCAAATTTCTGTAATACTGCATTTCCTGTCGCAGTAAATTTAGAGAAATAGATGACATCTGAAAAGCATTCCTAAAAGTATTTATTTGCTAACAGACTTCTTTTGGTTTAAAATTAGCATTGAAAATTAAAATTTTCACTTTGTTATGTAATTGAATTCGTGTAAAGGACTTTTTGTCTAACAGACTTGTCCCTTGCACGAATCAAGTCCGTTAGAGGGGGGTTGACTGTACAGTAAAAATCCAAAGTTCATAACTTGACAAATAACACATATTGTGTAGGGTTATTGAAAGTGAAAATTCTCTCATGAAACTTCACTATTAAACAAACATATGTTTTAATAATGGAAGGAACCCAGAAGCAAATGAATTCCATTGTGCAGGAACCCTTCATGATGATACAACGCGGCCATATTCCCCTCCCCCATATTCTGCTCTCTTTTGTATTTTTTGTCATTGCATTTTTGTCATGTAGCTTTTTTCATAGGTCTCCATTCCAGTACTTATACAGTATGTCCTGATCTGTGTTATGTCATTTTTATTTGTGAAAGTGCATTTTCTGATGTGTGGAAGACATTTTGAGGGATACTCTTGATCAAAAAGTTGACTTGGTGTTCTACATGCAAATAAATACTTTTAGGAATGCTTTTCAGATGTCATCTATTTCTCTAAATTTACTGCGACAGGAAATGCAGTATTACAGAAATTTGCTCAAAAACACAAGCTGATTTCTATACAGAGCAGGGGGAATTTTCAGAGTACAAAGGGTGCCTGAATCCTGATTGAAAATACCTTCCCAATGTCTGAATAAACAAAATTTCTTTCAAGCTTAGGAGATTCAGAAATATAATTCAAACTTTTCCTATAGAGCTACAATGGGCTTTATTGATTGATTCATTGATGGATCAACAAGCTTTACTTTCCATTTTTCAGCATTCACATGGTTCAAGCATTTTTTCCAAATTCAGACCCCCTCTATACTCACTACTCAAATTCATCCAAACACATTCCATAACATCAGAATGGAAAGTAGAGAAATATAAGCTGTACATAGATATTAAGAAAGAAAATACTGTGCATCCCAAAATGTAAAATTGCACATCTGATGTAAATTCCTACACTTTCTTCACCTCCCCAAAAACAATAAGAGAATATCAATGATGAAAATTGCAGCAAAAGGCAATTATTAATATATGGGCTGTATAATGACAATAATGACATGCTTTCTGAAGTAGAGTACAGTACACTGTACAGTTCTCAGAAACTCAAGCTCTTTATACCAATCAAAAATGGAACTTTTTGGGCCAGTGTTGCCATATGATCACTCACACTTCATGAAAGACTGTACCAACAGTTTGAAGAAACACTGCATATAATTTTTGATCAAATAAGTCTAACCAAGAATTGGAGGATTAAGACTGTTATGCACCTTTCTTTGCCTCAAATGACCTTTTCAATTTGAGGAATGAACTTTTTACCATCACATTTAGGATCTATGGACTGACCTGGATCCTGTGCATTGAATGTTCAAGGTTAAATATATTTTCAAAATCTTGCATAAAAAAATCCTGGGAAAGATTAGCATCAATTGTAATGTATATTTACTCCTTTTTATGCAGATATTTTTTATGGAATGTGAGGGATTGTTTGAGTTGTGCTGATTTGTGTGTGAAAAATTAAATTCTTTTATTTAGTAACCTTCTTCAAAGAAAGTTTCCAGCCCTTCCTAGTCTGAACAGTATTTAAATGTGTGTCTCATTTTTCTAATTTTTTGTTCTATTGTTCCCTTTGGAGTGCAAAATTCAGGATTTTCCTCCACTCTAAAACTCAGGGAGTGCATTTGCACCATGTGTTGAAACAAATGACTCAGGAAACTGGATAACCTTGGTTGTGTCCTGCCATGGAAAAACAACCCTATGTGAATGAAGGGGTGGCTAACTAACAGATTCAGATAAAGTTCCTTCTGTACTCCAGGCCCAGCAACTTCCGGTTAATCCACCCACATCCAAACCAGCCCTGTATATATTGACATCATCTGGGAATCGATGGAAGCAAACAGACTCCCTGATGAGATCTCTGTTAAACTTTTTTCCATTCAAGAAGATCTCTTCTTGTGCATAAAATCTCTTTTGCAGCAGTCCTGAAATCGTGTCCATTTTTTTGGCAAGCACCTGAACTTTGCAACATAGATGTATATTCATAGAAGATGCGTTGTTCAATATTAAGATTTTGCTCAAGTGAAAATAAACTGAAAGTAAAGATGCATGGACCAGGATTTGGATGTGAGTACAGTAGTGAAGAGTTGAACCTACTCTTCATGCCATTTTAGTCAAGTATAAATCACATGAAAATTTGAAATAAAAAAGGAATTATCATCATTTAAGCTTACAAAATTCTGGGAAACAAAAGTTACATTATGGGAATTTATGTTATTTTTTTTAGCCAAGACTCACATGGAAAACCTTATGCTTCTGATCACAACAAAAGTACATATGAATGCCTAAAGATTTTGAGTATAGTATAATGGCTAACTTAACTTCATTTTGGACAATTTAAAGGATACACTTTGAGGCAGAAAACCCTTTGTTCAAACAGTTTTGTTAAACTGGGACTGAAGCAACATTGCGGGCTCTTAATAAAAGAGATAATGAGTGAACAAATCAGTTTTTTTCTTGCTGGCCTGACAAATTTGAAGTACCATTGTGAAAACCACTAGCTGTAGCTGCAAATTTTATTAATTTTCACACATCATCATGCAGCAAATTTGAAACCCTTTTTTAAATAAAAAAAAAGTTCAGAACCTTGGAACTTATTCATGGGCTATGAGTCCCTATGACAGTTATTTTTTTTTACAAGCACCCTTACTCTAAATATATCAGAGGTCATGTTCCACTGGGAAAAATCTGGTGTAGTTTCACTTCATAAATTTGCTGAATTTCCAACATCTGCAATAATATCCAAAACATTGCAACCATGCCTCAAATGATTGTACTGGTATTTCCACAGATCCACACACAAACAAATACACACATAAGCAGTTGCACCCATTCAAATTAAAATAATCAGGGTCCAGCACATCTGATGAAACCAATGGATGGAAGTCATTGTAAATGTCCAAATCACCCTGAGGCATTTTGCACAACATGGACAGCAAAAAAATAATAATAATGACAATTCAAAAAATGCAGCAATCAAAAAATACTATCTCTCACACACTAAAGTCAAGCCAGTAATGCTTTTTGTATCCAGTCAATGTACTCGTCCACTTTGGTATACACTCCTGGGAGTCCACCACCACATGCTGTACTGCCTATAGAAGTGATGCCAACTATTTCAAAAGCAGCTCTTGATGGATTCAGCATCATGGTTGGAGCCCCAGAATCTCCTTTGCAAGTGTCCTTGCCTTGTACACCAGCACATATTTGCGTGCTTCTCAGAGGAATGCCAAAACTGTCATACCTGGCTTTGCACCTGTCCATGGGGACAATTGGTAGGGACACAACTTGCAGATTGTCCACTGTTGCACTGGTACCTTTTTTGAGAAAAAGAAGCCAAAGGAACATCAATTTGTTACTCAGGTACTGAAATGGAAAAAAACATAGTAAAAATTGGAAAAAAATTTAGTAGATTAAAAAATTAATCTGAAAAACCATGTTTTTGAAAAGCAAAAAATAACCTTAAACGTGGTGCACATCTATTTCATTTGTATTTCACTTCTTCCCAACAATCTCTATGCGCACCACGTTTAAGGTTATTTTTTGCTTGTTGAAAACGTGGTTTTTGCAAAATTTGAGTTGCAAAATTTGATCTGGCCAAACAAACGGACAAGAAAGCAAGTTAATAAAAACGTGCTAAAATAAAGCCTTGTATGGAAATGTGGATGCATTATCCCATGTTATGACATCTTGCCATCCTGTGGGAACATGACCACCTGGGACTTGCCCAGTTAGCACCCATGCATGCTTTTGGGATGTGTTCAACAAGAACATGATGCTGACACAAAGGAGGACATGTTATTTAAACACATTTTATTACAGGTGACCCCTTCAGGTGGTTCCCAGCAATTAAACTCTAATCTGTCAGTCAACTACAGTCAAATTGTAAAGTGGTTAAATTGCAAAACAACATCAAACTTGATGTTTTCTACATTGTATTTGACATTTTGGGTGCTGTCTTTGTGGGTTGAATTGCAGGGCTGCAGTTGAATTGCAAGTCAACCTCCCAGCAAATTTGACCATCAAATTATTGTGGGACAGAAAAATCACAGGGTGATCAAATTGCAAGGTATCACCTGTATTGAGCCCTTGGGTGGCAGCAGATTCTTTTGCATTGTGCAGCAGTGACATAATTTTTTTGCAGTCATCTGTGTTTTGGTTTGACCAAAGGTCACCAAAACACAGCTTTTGCTGAGTATCCAAAGTCAGAAAAAATCCACAAAAATAAAGCCATTGTTCTGATGATCCCCAATAATGCTAATCCTATTGCAGAAAGGCAGAAAAAATGCTCACCAACAGTAACTTTTTGTATTTTTTTTGGAAAATGTTTCTGCTGTGATGCTTCAAGAAGTCAGGTTTTTCCCAACTTTGGCTAATTTAATAATTTTTCCCCCTTTTTTCCTACTCCTTGTGGCATAAATCCTGGCATCACTGCCCAAGGGTAAGTTCAAATAAACTCCTCAAGTAAAAAACCTATTGGTAGGTCAAATTCCTGATTGAATCCTTAGCCTAATCTATCCAGAGAGGAATGCAGTAAGTCTAAACTTTTTGAGTCAAGACATTCACCATTACTTCCCCAGCCAATGGCAATGAATGACTCTCGATCCAAAGTATCTGCACTTCTCGAAGTCACCGGCAAGCAAACAGGTCCGACGAAATCTGCAAACAATTTTCGCAAGTCATCAAACTTTCTGCAATAATACTCCAGAAAGAAGCAGAAAAATTTGTTGATGAACAAGAGATTTGATTTACCATTGATAATAACGTCCCTGTCCATCTTCAACACTGCGATATCGTTCCAAAAACTGGGCCTCCTTTGGTAGTCCTCATGAGGAATGGCTTGTACAACAGCAAAATCCTGAGGCTGATCATCAGGCTTTTCTGACAGAATATTCACGTCACCCAATCGAACAACGTACGAACTGGAATAAAATACAGCAACTTTTAATGAATAATAAAAATGAAAAGCCTGCGTTTATTGATTTACATACATGCAGTAAGTGATTTACTTTCTGACGTATGCTGATATTCTTGTAACTGATATTTTGTTTTCAATGTCAGGGAAAGTTAAATCCTTATGGTGTGGAATGCTGGGCATATAAGAAAATGTGGTTTTCTTTTGGGTAATACTCAGTACTGAAATTAGTTTTTTTTTTAGTTTCTGGTTTTTTCTTTGCAGCCCAAAATATCCTCATATGATGCCACAATATAACAGAAAAATCAAAAGATCAACAGTTTCCGGTGGAGAGGTACAAAAAATCTTGAAAATTTCAACTTCTCCTCATTCGAAATTTTTACATTTTGGAAGATTACTAATTGGACAATTTATAAAAATTTTGGAAATTGACAAATTTTGGAAGCTGGATTCATCATGACATGTCGGTTTTATTTAGTAGCAGTGAGAACAAACCAGAAGACCACAGCGTTTTAGAAATTTGACACACTGCATTTATGCACTGACGACATTTACGGAAAGAAAATTATTTTGTCACTTCCTTCGGTTTGTTCAAGGCTTTTTGATGTTGATCCTGTTTATGGCACAGGGATGCCATATGCAGTGCTATACTACTATACTGTAGTGCATTTACCCAATAGCACCCTGACATTTAAACGTATACAGAAAGTTCCGAAGCGCAATTGTCGTAGTTCCTTTTTTAGTTCCTAGATGTCGCAACCAGAATTTTACCAACGCTTCATCCCTCTCTGCTCGACGAATCTTGAGTCTTGACGAATATATAAACCCCGAATCAAGGCGAAGAACAGGACTATTGTTATAGTTTTTGTTGACTTGTTGGAGCAGTTCCTGTCCTAGCTGGTCTAGACGGGTTTCAGGAAACTTTATAAAACGTTGCTCTTACTGAGTGAACTGGTGCAAAAACTCTTGGAAAAACATGTCGGTTGACCAGGGCAAACAATGGGCCGCAGTCAGCACATGTCTGGTGGAAATTAGCGCTCCTCCACATCCCCACGAAGTTCGACGTTCTTTTGCATCTGAAAATTGGAAACAATTCAAGTCATTCAATGAAATCAGCATGGCAAACAATGGGCCGCAGTCAGCACATGTCTGGTGGAAATTAGCGCTCCTCCACATCCCCACGAAGTTCGACGTTCTTTTGCATCTGAAAATTGGAAACAATTCAAGTCATTCAATGAAATCAGCACTGATAAGTGGAGAGTCCTTTTCAACCAAAAGATAGCTACAGCGAAAATTTTATTGAATGGCGAACTTTCTGAAAAGGGAATATGGACTAAAGTTAAAAACTTGTTTGGCTTCGCGCAATTTTCGTGATCCAGAAATGCTTAAATTCAAACAAACCGTTTTCCGTATTTTTTTTCCAGTTTGATTTTATGAATTTTTCTCCAAAATTAACCAAAAGAGAGAGAGTGAGGGTAAAGTTTTGTTTTTTTCTAATCCTGGGAATTTGTTTGTATCAAAAAGTTGAGATTAACATTTTAAAATTAAATATAACGCTTATGCTAATCAAATTCAAATTCTTATCTGAACGACTTGCTAAAACACACTGATTTATTGCTTTCATGGGTTCATTTTGTGAGGTTGAAAATTGTCTAAATACTGTATGTAACTTGAAAAGAAACGATGTTCATAAAAAAACAGGACACAACTGTAATATCACAAAATAGTCTCAAGAATGACTCAGTTGTTTGTATTCAAGGATATGAACACTGCAATTTTCATATTGGCTTGATTGTATATCCTTAATTATCATTAGCAATACAAAATTAAGATTCCACCGCTTTTGTATACTGTACTGATGAAAATGCAGTAATCCATTTAATGAAATCTTTTTGATTGAAAGCACAGTTACCATTTTCTCTAGAAATCCTTTCTTGACTCAATTTCTGCACTTAAATTGAAAGAACTCATTCAAATATGACAGCACACCAATTTTTAAAAACAATTACTAGAATAGCCAATTATAGGTGGTACCTTGCAATTCAACCTCCCACAATTTGATCATCCCAAAATTTGATGGTCACATTTGCACAAAGGTTGACCTGCAATTCAACCATTGCCACAAAATTTGACCTGCTTTGGCCACTTCTTTGCATTTATTAACTTAATTTTTTTATTTCACAGAGTGTCTTGCAATTTGACTGATTTTCAATTCAACCCTAGTCCAGTAATGGATTAGGGTCAAATTGCAAAGTAACACCTATGGTTAGTTTACATCTTGAATTGGAAAACACACCTCTCCTTCCAACAGCAGCTGCCCAAGGCCATTCTCCAGCAACTGCTCCACTGCCACCAACAATTCTAACATGCAATGGACTCTGGCCACATTCAGCTTCCTGTCTGGGCTTATTCACCACAGGAGTAGGGATGTTTGGAACCCTTGAAGAAAACATAACCAATTTTTCCATATTTTCTCTGCCAGAGGGAAACATCTTAACAAATGTTTCCTAATCCTAAGAAATTTTTAGCATTCCACAGCTACCTAAATGAGCTTCAAAAATATTAGGAAATATTATAATTTGATGGAAAGTCTCTCTCCACAATTTTAGAGGACCCAAATAAACTGTTAGCTTTAAAATTTATCCTCAACGATTTTTTCTGAATTTTGTGATCAACTAAAACTTATCTGGGTGCAGGCTGAATATCTTGTGATTTAATTTGTGCTTGTTAATTGCATCATGATGTAATTTTTATTACTAATGTTTTCTTTTGTAATCTATAGTGAGGGGATCAAAGTGTTTGCATTTACATCAGCAGTTGTGCATTTTCACATTATGTCATTATTTTCCTTTGCTGCAATACTCATAAAAAGCATATTTCTCTGATTTTATCCTGATGTGGTGAAATTTTTTTGGATGAATGTGGGTGTGGAGGGGATTGTTTGAACCTTGTGAATGCTGAAAAGTGGGAAATAAAGTTTCTTTATCAATCAATCAATCAATCAGCAAATTATCAATGACATTTTACAATGTACCATACAGAAATTATGCCATTCACTAATCGAATACAGTATTAAAGTGCTTACCCTTATAAAAGGGAAGAAACTGCTGGCTTGGTACTATATACTACCAATGTTCAGACAAGGACCAAATGGATCAATATATACAAGTGGATAAACTAATACTACTAGAATAATACTCCTTGCTTGATGGAAATATATTTCAGGGGAATTTTTGAGTTCATTCAATGACTATTTTGAGATCTTGCTAATGTGAAATATGATTCTCTTGTGAAATTTGTAACAACAACAAAAAGTGCACTGGTTTTTTTCAGTTACTTCACTATCCATAAAAAATCAGGCCTGATTCTTGTGAAATGATTATTGATGCCAATGAAAACATTGTTTTTTATTTGGGCTATACTGTACTTGTATCACCCAATTCCAAAAAACAAACTTTTTTTTGGGAAACAACAAATAGGGTGCTGAATATGATGGAATAAAGCATGCATCATTTGATGAATGAGAACATCTTGTTTTGCATTCCAGTACATTTTTAAACCCATCTTGTGAGGGAAGTCATGGCTTTTAGATATCTATCCAATGTATATGATGCCACAATATAACAGAAAAATCAAAAGATCAACAGTTTCCGGTGGAGAGGTACAAAAAATCTTGAAAATTTCAACTTCTCCTCATTCGAAATTTTTACATTTTGGAAGATTACTAATTGGGCAATTTATAAAAATTTTGGAAATTGACAAATTTTGGAAGCTGGATTCATCAGACATGTCGGTTATATTTAGTAGCAGTGAGAACAAACCAGAAGACCACAGCGTTTTAGAAATTTGACACACTGCATTTCTGCACTGACGACATTTACGCAAAGAAAATAATTTTTTCACTTCCTTTGGGTTGTTCAAGACTTTTTTATGTTGACCCTGTTTATGGTACAGGTATGCCAAATACAATGCTGTACTATACTGCCGTGCATAAGCAGAAGCATCCTGGCATTTACAGTCATCATACGAAAAGTTCCGAAGCGCGATTGTCGCAGTTTCTTCTTTGGTTCCTAGATGTCGCAAGTAAAATTTAAACGACGCTTCATACCTCTCTGCTCCTTGAGTCTTATTGACGAATATATAAACCCCGCATCAAGGTGAAGAACAAGGGATAACAATATCAAAAACAACTGAACAACCTCGTCAAGGACAGGATCGACCAGATCTGCCCAAAGTCCTTTGAAATATTTTGCAACGAGAATGACTCACTTGACCACGTTTTTGAGAACCTTTTTGTNGATCTGCCCAAAGTCCTTTGAAATATTTTGCAACGAGAATGACTCACTTGACCACGTTTTTGAGAACCTTTTTGTTGTCGGTTGACCAGGGCAAACAATGGGCCGCAGTCAGCACATGTCTGGTGGAAATTAGCGCTCCTCCACATCCCCACGAAGTTCGACGTTCTTTTGCATCTGAAAATTGGAAACAATTCAAGTCATTCAATGAAATCAGCAGTCAGCACTGATAAGTGGAGAGTCCTTTTCAACCAAAAGATGGCTACAGCGAAAATTTTATTGAATTGCGAAAATTTATTTTATTAAATAAAATTGAAATTTATTTTATTAAATTTTATTGAACTTTCTGAAAAGGGGAGAGTGACTGAAGTTAAAAACTTGTTTGGCATCGTGCAATTTTGTGATCCAAAAATGCTTCGATTTAAACAAGCCGTTTTCAGAATTTTTTCAATCTGATTTCATGAATTTTTCTTCAAATTTTATCATAAGATATAGAGAGTGAGGGTGACGTTTTTTTTCTAATCCTGGGAATTTGTTTATATCATAAAGTTAGCAGATTAAAAATTTTAGATTTAATTCAACTTTTATTTATGCTAATCAAATTCAAATCCTCATGTGAACGATAACTTTCTGAAATACACTAATTTTTTTTTGGTTTCATGGGGCCATTTTGTGAGTGTCTGACTTGGTTGAAAATTTTCCAAATACTGTATATACAGTATAGCTAAAAAAAAAATGAAGTGCATAAAAATCACAGACACAAATTTAATATCTCTCAAGAATGACTCAGTTGTTTGTATTCAGGGATATGAACCCTGCAATTTTCACATTGTCTTCATTATATATCTTTAATTATCATTAGCATTACAAAATTAAGATTCCACCGCATTTCTATACTGTACTGATCAAAATGCATCCTTTTAATGAAATCTCTTTGACTGAAAACAGCTTCAACATTTTCTCTAGAAATACTTTCTTTAGTCAATTTCTGCACTTTAATTCAAAGCACTCATTCAAATATGAAAACACACAAATTTTTTAAAAACAATTACTAGATTATAGCGAATTGCAGATGGTACCTTGCAATTCAACCTCCCACTAATTGACCATCCCAAAATTTGACAATCAAATTTGCAGGAAAATTGACTTGCAATTCAAGTGACCTGCTTTGGCCACTTCTTTGCATTTTTTAACTTATACTTTTTTTATTTCACAGAGTGTCTTGCAATTTGACTGATTTTCAATTCAACCCTAGTCCAGTAATGGATTAGGGTCAAATTGCATGGTAACACCTGTATTGAATGGTCAATGGTTAGTTTACATTTTGAATTGGAAAACACACCTCTCCTTCCAACAGCAGCTGCCCAAGGCCATTCTCCAGCAACTGCTCCACTGCCACCAACAATTCTAACATGCAATGGACTTTGGCCACATTCAGCTTCCTGTCTGGGCTTATTCACCACAGGAGTAGGGATGTTTGGAACCCTTGAAGAAAACATAACCAATTTTTCCATATTTTCTCTGACAGAGGGAAACATCTTAACAAATGTTTCCTAATCCTAAATTTTTTTTAGCATTTCCACAGCTACCTAAATGAGCTTCAAAAAGATTAGGAAATATTATACTTTGATGGAAAGTCTCTCTTTTGATGGAAAGTCTCTCTCCAAAATTGTAGAAGACCAAAATAAACTGTTAGATTTAAAATTTATCCTCAAAGATTTTTTCTGAATTGTTTGATCAACTAAAACTTATCTGGGAGCAGGCTGAACACCTTATTGTGATTTAATTTGTGCTTGCTAATTGAAATATGATGTAATTTTTTTCACTAATGTTTTCTTTTGTAATCTATAGTGAGGGGATCAAAGTGTTTGCATTTACATCAGCAGTTGTGCATTTTCACATTCTGTCATTATTTTCCTTTGCTGCAATACTCATAAAAAGCATATTTCTCCGATTTTATCCTGATGTGGTGAAATTGTTTTGGATGAATGTGGGTGGGGAGGGTTTTGTTTGAACCTTGTGAATGCTGAAAAGTGGGAAATAAAGTTTCTTTATCTATCAATCAATCAGCAAATTATCAATGACATTTTACAATGTACCCATACAGAAATTATGCCATTCACTAATCGAATACAGTATTAAAGTGCTTACCCTTATAAAATGGAAGGAGCTGCTGGCTTGGTACTATATACTACCAATGTTCTGACAAGGACCAAATGGATCAATATACAAGTGGATAATCTAATACTACTAGAATAATACTCCTTGATGGAAATATATTTCAGGGGAATTTTTGAGTTCATTCAATGACTATTTTGAGATCTTGCTGATGTGAAATATGATTCTATTGTGAAATTTGTAACAGCAACAAAAAGTGCACTGGTTTTTTTCAGTTACTTCACTATCCATATAAAAAATCAACCCTGATTCCTGTGAAATGATTATTGATGCCAATGAAAACATTGTTTCTTATTTGGGCTATACTGTACTTGTATCACCCAATTAAAAAAAAAACTATTTTTGGGAAACAACTCCCACGACTTATACTACCTTATTTCGTACGTAGTAAACTACTTACTCTTGTAGAACAAAACGTAAGGTCATGTAAAAATTTGGGTAGAACACTCCCTTCAGTACCGAAAATCTATAGATAGGTTACGCCACATAAGTGCATGCATGGCATTTCTTTCTAAATAAATTATAAGACTGTTTCTTGCCTGGCCCCAAAGTCTTTTTGCAGCAAGGTTTTACTGTGCCACTGAAAACTGGTTTTTTTCTGAAATTAAGCCATCACATGACTGGAGAGTTTAGTGCAGGTATTCGTCACAAGCATAAACTGTGAAAAGGTATCTCATCCATTAAAATCCATTTTCTGAGGAATAGTTTCAAAAATCAAGATTCTTCATGCATGCCGGGTTAAGCACATCATACAATTCCTAATCAAATACAACCAGCCATGGTAAGAAGGTGTATCATCTGATTCAGAATTCTTCATCCTTCTTAAAAATCTTATCTTCCAATTATTCTACATCTCACTTTCAGAAACAGGTTTTAGAACTGGTTTTACAGCTTGTTGATAAAATCAAAAGCTCACCAGATGCAATTCAAGATCATACCAGGATACAATATGTATAGCTGACAGAAAAGTGTTTCCCCCATTTTATTCTGAAGATTATTGTAATAGAGACCTGCACAAAAATAAAATATTTTGGAAGCTGAGCAATAATATTTAAGACAATTGGAGTAGAAATTATCTGATGAAAAATAAAAATTGGCTTTTCTCCTATTTATAACACCTTCAGACAAACTTTCACCAACTGACATGAATTATTTAAAGCTTTCATTCCTATAGGGACCTTCTTTCAAGCCCACCTTTCAAAATTGTTAAGACATATATAGATATTGCTGCTTCATTGGTTCCAAACTCAATTTTTGCAAAAGAGCAGAAACTTTTTTGAATACCTGCTGTAAAGTCTTTTCAAAAACATTTTGGGTCTGAAAAATATCAAGAAACTCTCCTGGTCTGCATAAAATCTTCTAGAGAATTTGCCAGTCCCCAAAATGTTTTATGGAAATTTGCCTGTCTGCTAGCCCAAAAAGAGTGGGTAACACTGCCATAAATTACAGAGAGACCCCTTGCTTATGCACACCTTGACAAGCAGACAATCCAACATAGGAAAAATTTTTTCCATAAAAAAGCATAAACAAGGCCTGACATGTGGACACTGACTCAGCATGAGGACATTGCATGATAAAATAGCCCATATTTCAGCATAACAGACTGCTCATGCTGATCTGCAAGAAACGGATATTTCCAATCCAAAGATTTATGCAAGAAAAGTTCTTTGGCATTTGGCCAGTCATTTTCCCATCCATTCAGCTAAATAAAAAAATTAGCATAGGTTGACATTATTCTCTCTTTTTTACTTGAGTATTTTTTTTAAGATGCCAGCATTTCAAGGTACTGTTCAGAGGCACAGTATTCAATAATCTAAATGTTCTTATTGAGTTGAAAGATGTCGACTGAATCAATTTTAATTGGCAGAAAACTTTTCAAGGAATGCTGATGAACATTTATTCCATGAAACACAATTTTAAAATTATACTGTATAACATAAGTCTATACAGGAAAACTAGATTTGACTGTGAAACATTTTGGCTTTGGGACAATCTTGATGCACCAATTATGCCCACTTCCGGGGATCTCAGTATATACCATATTTACTCAAGTACCACTTGCACCTTTTTTCTTGAATTTCAAAAGGAAAAAAGGGGTGCATGTCAGAAGCAGGTACAAATATTTCACAAAGTTTTAGAAACTTATGTGTGCATTATACTTGATTATAATGGATAAATTTGGAACAAATAATAAAAGAAAACTTCTTTGTCCTGGAAAAGTTGAAAATTGGTCAGATTTTTGTTCAATTTATGCCTGATGTCAAATTCTTTGTTTTTATTTTCAAAATGTTGTGGTTTTAGATGCACTAAAAATTTGGGTGGGCATCTTACTTGGGGATAATTTTTCACCAAAATTTTCCACTGAAAAACCCCTGTGCGCACCTTACTCCAGGGCAATAAGTGGTACTCAAGTAAATACCGTATACCCATCATTAAAAGAAAACTGACCCATTCAGAGGCCTGTTCTTGACCCCACCGCTTCCCAGCAGTTGGCTCAAGTACGGTTCTTCCGGCCTGTCTTCAAAATCGTAGAACCGCTCCTCGGGATGAGGACAGCACATCTTGGGCACCAGACGTTCGAAGCCACACATGAAACTGCGCAGGTGACGCCAGAGTCTGTGGTCCCCGCTTTCGGACGCCACTCCCACTTGGAACTCCATGAAGCGGCATTGCGGGATCGTGAGACAGGTGCCAGGGAATCCCTCGGGGGTGAGACAGCGGAGGTGTCTGGGGATTCCCGCGGGAAAGGGCACACCGAAGGCATGATGATGCCTCTCTTCCACGTCACCAGTGCTGGTTCCATCTGCATTTTACATGGAGCCAGAGAAAATTATATCAGAACAAAACAAATAATCAACTTTATTGAAACGTATGGATTTAAGATAATAGTGAATTTGATTTTCCACAAAAGAACAAATTCAATATATAAAATGCCAGCAATCAGCCAGCTGTGGCTGCATATATGAACACATATTCAATGGGACATCTTCTAATATGTCGTCACTCTGACGTTCTCCACCTTTATTAACCACGAACCTGGTTCAGGAATATATGACGTATGTCGTAGACATAAAAAAATAATTGTTATAATGTAAAGAAAAATTTCTAGTGTTAAAATTAACCAATGAAAAACATCTGAAAAGGCCACTTTTCCTTCTACAACTTATATACGTCCAGATAAAACTTCTTTTAGAAGGCGAGTCAGTTATTAAAAGTTTTAGAGTAATATTGTTTAATAAACAATGTCGTTTAAAAAAACTTCAGGGGTGTTCAAAGTTGTAACAAGATTTTAATGTATATGTTGTAATGACTGCATGTTGGATCATATTTTTGAAAAGGCTTCAATGGAAACTTATATAATTGGTTCTTCAGCTCATCAAATATTAGGAAAAATCTCAAATAATGCGTAGAATATATTTCTCAACTTAAAAATACAGAATATCACTGCTGTGTAGAATAAGATCACAACAAAAACTGAGTTTTTGGCCAAGACACAAAAAGCAATGAAAATAGTACAAGCCTTGCTATACAGTAAAGTGCATAGATGATAGAAAATGCTTGGAAAATGAACTACAAATTTATTGCCTTTTGATTGTAAATTTATTATGCAATTTTTTGCAATTTTTGTAAACACAAAAAACTCAATTTTTCCAAAATATATCCAAATTTTGAGGAAAAGAAATCTTCCCCTTTTCTAAAAATGTAAAACTGCCTGTACACCAAGAAATGTTGTGGAAGTCATGACAGCTTTTAAAAGTTTTCAAAGTTTCCACATTTTGGAGTTTTGCTGTCTGTAAAAACGATAGAAATTTAAACTTGAAAAGGACAGATTTCAGAGAAGTATGTCCATCAGTACCACACTCATGTATACAATTTTATTGATTAATGAATGCATTTCTGCTTGTCAGCATTCAAAAGGTACAAAAATTTTTCCCACACTCCCACCCTATATTAAATATCCATTAGACAAATTCCAGGCCACCAAAATTAATACATTGAATTGTTTTTTCTATAACAAATAAAGAATCACAGTACATAAGATTGCACAAAAATCACCGTGGTTGTACAAGGAAATTCAATAAAAAATGTCTTACTACATATCTCCTCAACTACACATCCATTGCTCCAGGAGAAAGGCCATACATAAATTTTCAAACATGAATTTTCACACAGAATAGTTACGTAGAAATGTGTTTTGGACTATATTCATTGATGCATATGGGCCAGCCTTCAAAAAATTGATCTATTATGAGAAGAAAATATCAAAGGAGAGGGAGAAAGTCAGGTTGAAACGTACATCAGGAAAAACTGGAAGATTACTTGGTGTAAACTTCTGAGGTAAGTTCAAAGGAATATGTCCTTAATCTTTGTGATTGCCACAATTCCCAGGAGGTGGGCCCAACATAAATCTCTCAACATGTTGTTACTTTCAGGAGAAAAAGCATCCCAGAAAAAAATTGACCAGGTACCTTCCAATTTGACCTCTTGCAATTCAACCATCCTGCAATTTGATGGGTCAAATTTGCTGGGAGGTCAACTCTCAATTTGACCTCTGCTGTGCAATTTGATGTGCAAAGAGACATGATATGTCAAATTGTCATGTAGAAAACATGCTATAACACAGTGTCTCACAATTTGACCAATTTGCAATTTGACCCTAGTCCAGCAATAGATTAGGGTTGAATTGTTACAGTACCACCTGTACTGTACGTTACATTTTAGCACATTTTAACTTCTGAACTTTCTCTTTTGTCAAAGTTGGCACAGGATAATTTTGAAATTGGACTAAAACAAACCACTTTGAATTCAGAAGTTATGTTTGATGCAAGAGGGACTCCACAATTCACACAGTTGAAAAACCATCCAGCCCCCAGAAGACATACACATACTATGTTCAAGCAAGAAGTTGCACCTCAATAAGCATGCATTTAAAATGAACCCTGGGAGAATTCATATTTGTCCAGGTGACTTGTGAAAAAAAATGATATCAAGTATTTAAAATCTGTTCAAGATCTGCTCCAATCCACTTTTTGAAAGGAAGTTGTGAATAAAGAGTACCCAATTATATTTAGCCTTTTGCCTGGCTAATGAGTTTGATTTTCTCAAACACATTTTAATCATACAGTACTTTTCCTACTGATGTTGCTTCCTGACATCATACAAATATTTAACCCCTGGAGCAACAACAACAAAAAACCATGAGTGACCTTCAAGGAAGTTGTAAACCATGACTTCTTCGACACCTTTGAAGTAGACCTTTGTCCTTTGGTAAGTGTTGGTAGACCATGTATTGGTTCTACTTGCGCTTCTGTATTCTCGTGGTCACCATTTTGACACCTGAAAAGCTAGCATTGAAAAATAAGTTTTGGATAATTTCATCATTGCTTTTTCATCAAAATAACCAATATTTTGCGGACAGGGGAAATTAAACAATTACACAGGTCATCTACTGTGTCAACATGAGCTGCATAATGGACTCAATTAGCTAATTTTGTGCCTCTCTCTTTTTTAGTTTTGTTCTATCAACTGTGTATACAGTGTTGCCAGATGTGTGTCTGTTTTTTTTTTAAATTCATTTTTAGCCAAAATGGCATATATATAGTGTGGTTTTTTTGCACAATTATCACTTGCATAGTGAAAGTTGAGAACATTTCAGTTTTCAGAAAACACATCAATGTTTTGCCAAAAATTAGATTCAATTAAAAATGTTCCATTCCAATCAAAGTTTTTTCAGTTCAACACATGATTGAACATACTCCAACATACAAACAAGATCAAAGCCTATTTCAGTCACTTGCTGAATTTCCATCCACAATCCCACAGACACACACAATCACAACCTTCACAAACCCCAAGGCAACACATCAGTAAACAATACACAATAAAATCGAAATAACGGTTCTGGTATACATGCAGTCCCCAGCTCACTTATTACGTAATAAATAAATTTTATAAAAAAAGAACACGAAATCTGAATATTTTTCTCTTCCCGAACCAGAGCAGCTGACCCACACTCGCTGCGTAAAACTGATAACCCAGCTTATTTCTCACTTGTACAACCACTTCCTGGAGATAAAATAACTCAAAACTCGTCCTTCCGCTTCATGCAAGCAGTCCTTCCTTATGCTGTATATATATTATACATGATGTGGATGGCCTTCATCCAGGATAAAGACGCGGTTGTTCGGAAGCCCAACGATGACTGGCCAACGACTTGGAACTAACGCCTGGGATATTCCCCATTTCGTGGGTAACCCCCCTCCGAAAGAAACCCGCTGGGCCGCCATGATTATTGAGATGAACCCGGGACAAAGGGGATCTGATGAATACCGCTGAGCTGAGTGACAAATAATATTTCCTGGAAGTATTGTGCGTTAGTACTGTAGAAATTTCTGAGAACCATGGAACCCACCAGCTGCTCTAGATATGAAAATAAGTGCCCTTCTAAAAGAGCACAGGGAAAGGATGAGAATAAGAAGCTCATACAGAAAGTGACTCCGTGAAATACCATACAGCATTTAGTGGAGTACCAAAAGGTACCTTTTTTCCACAATAAATGGAGGTGGAAAAACAGGGTGTGCGCAGTACTTGGAGATGCATTTTTAACCCTTGTGCAGCAAAGTTGGGATGTTTTTGCAAAATTTTGTGCGCATGACCACTGAAAATAAAAAAATTGAATTTTTTTTAACCAAGGCATAGTTGGGGAAGAAAACTTTTTTCATCCTGCCAAACATTTTGCCTTCAAAAAAATTTACTCACAGGGTGGTTTTTTTCATGTATTCCTTAGCTTAGGATTAACATTGGGGATTTCTTGAACTCCGTTACCCTAAAAGAGATGGGTGTTAAAAGGGTTGAATCCGGAAGAGTCAAGAGTGGGACCCTCGTAAGTCCACTGGAAACGAGTTTGACTTTAGGTGGGTGGTTTTTTTAGAGTTCTTTCCGCAGGAACCCTCCACCATCCATATATAGGTTAGGGAAAAATCTCCAAAACCAGAGCCCTTTACAAATGAAACTCACCAAAGCTTCAACAAGAATGGAGCAGAAATTTGTGGTGCCAAGTCTCCCTTTCTATGGAATATTATGGTTTAACCCTTACCCAGCAAATAATTTGGATGTTTCAAAATGCGTTGGGAGGGCGTTCTCATGCCATTATAGGCAGCAGTGCCACGATTTTTTTGCAAAATTATGTGCCCCAAGGAGTAGAACAAATGGGGAACAAAAATGATTAGAAGAGCCGATGGCAGGAAAAATCCCAACTTTTTTCATCATTCCTGTAGAAAAATTTTCAAGAAATGGAGAAAAAATTTACTGCTGCACGGAGGAAATTTTTCTGCATTCCAGCCCTAGGATTAGCATTAGTACAATACATTTATTTCTGTGGGAGTTTTCCCAAATTTGGGTACTCAGCCAAAACTGCATTTTTGTGACCTACAGTGAAACCAAAGTGCAGAGAATGCCTGAGAAAAAATCCTGGCACTGCTGGTGATGAAAAAGAACCCACTGCTGCCCAAGGGTTAAGCAATGACGAATCTAACCCTTTAGCAGCAGAGCTGGGAAATATTTGCAGAATTTGGTGCTGTAGAGTATCAGACATTTTAAAAATCTTGGTCAGGTGCCAAAGTTGGGACAAATCCCAATTTTTCTGTTTATATTTCTTCAAACAGATTTTGCTACAGAAGATTTAAATTCCCTGCTGGGTGGCATTTTTCCAGCATTCCTGCTGTAGGATTAGTATTGCGGGGTCTGAATAACATTATCTTAAACTTTCCCAGATTTTTCCAAACTTTAGCTATCCAGCCAAGGCTGCCTTTCAGTGAACTTCAGTCAAAATGAGATTTGCAAGTCTGCAAAAATATCTCAGCTCTGCCAAACAAAGATCAACCTGCCACTGCCCAAGGGTTAAAAATTTATCAGTTGAAGATGTAACTCAGGAAGTAAAGAAACGAGATAATATTTATTATATTGAGGAAGTTGCCATACACTGCAAACACATTTGAACTGCTCCTGCAGGCAGTAGAAATCAGGGAAGACAAAGTATCAGTGGGGAAAATTAAATTATGTAGAAAGTGTTTCATCCTTGATAATAAAAATGAGGGGCTTGCCTTACACCAGGGTGTATTAAGCTTTTTTTGTGGTCCCATTGGGCTTTCTATCCATGCTTCTGAATTTCTCTGCAACAAAATTCTCTCTAGTATGAATTTCTTTCAGGCCTCTTGAAGTTGATTGTAGAGATAACCCACCTGTACATATACAGTGGCCCCACGCCTAACAGACCTCCCGTGTAAGGGATTTTTGCCGAACAGACCAGCTCTGCAAGCAGTTTTTCCTCCTGCCCCAACAGACAAAATCCGCCAAACAGACTTCTTTTGGTTTAAAATTATTGTTGAAAATTGAAATTTTAAATTTTTTATGTAATTTAATTTGTGTAAAGGACTTTTTGTCTAACAGACTTGTCCCTTGCACTAATCAAGTCCGTTAGACGGGGGTTGACTGTATTCACTTTTTTAAAATCCATGAACAAATTATATCTGCCTGACTCATGAAAACCTCAATGGTGCAAACAAGCTCAGCATGCTTGAATTTCCCTTCAAATGCGTTTCTTTTCAAAAATCAGCTCAAAGAATTGTAACAGTAGGGTAGTAAAGTCCCAACTTTATGGACCAGGAAATTCCCATCCATCTCATGAATTCATCCATTGCCTTCTGTGGACTCAGTCCCACAGAAATCTCGCATTGGAAATTTCGGTTGCTGTTTATATCCCGGGAAACCCTGTTCACATATTCACGATTCAATAACCCAGCACAGAATAAAGCCCAGACACTTCTTGGCTTCAATGGACAGTGTGTGTCTTTGGAACTTTGAGAAAGAAAAAAAAAGTGAAGCTCTGTGATCCAAGGTTTCTTTGCTGACTCAGGTTCTGGCTTATTGTGATCAAAGGCTTGTTTCATATTGTGCAGTGTCATTGGAAAATAGTGAGCCAATATGTACGCATGGAGACTGTGGGCCTTTTGTGCAGTATTTTGCTGTGTTGTGTGGTTCGGAATATCAACATTGCTCAGCAGTTACAACAATTATGTGGTACAGCGTCTTGACCTTCCAGCACCACTGGTGATTGGAGAAAATGAAAAGCCATTGTGTCCTCTGGTGTCCTTGTCATGGGGTGAGTCATTTGAATGAACATTACATGCCTTCTGCTGTGATTTTCAGCATTATTAAACAAATTATCAATTTCCATTAGTTATGAATTTGCAGGCACTTCATCATTAAATAAAATTATAAGTGTCCTTTATTTATGAATTTGAATGCATGTATTTTATTCTAATGCTTATAGCATATGTGCGTTGGGGGGGGGGGGGAGGGCTAAAATGTTTTGAACTTTGCAAGCATTGGCCAGAGGCAATTGAAGCATAGTCATAACATATCCACCTTTGTTTATGTTTTTTTATAGGCTTTGGCATGTGTTGAATAGATGTGTGGGAGGAATGTGGGAAAATTTTTTTGAACTTTGTGAATGCTGACAAGCAAAAAAATAAAGATTGCATATCAATCACATAATCAATGGAAAGTAAATGGAGTGTTTTGCATTGTTCAGAAACATAATATAGATTGCATTGCCAAAGGAAGTTTGTGAACCATACCTTATTATTCTCAATGGGCTTAACTTGAGTAAGCATCTATCATTTCTGGTTCTTTCAACATTGGATTAAATATGGAAACATTTTGACTTATGTATGCCTGAATCTCACTTCAAAGTATTTGCAATCCTAATTCCAGTCCCACTTTTTCAGTTGTCTGGTTCTTTACTCCCAAAGTCAACAAATGTGTTCTGTGTACTTTGAATACAAATTTGTATGCCCCTTACTTTCACTTTCAGTCTCTATTCAAAATTCTTGTGCAAAAGCTGCAACCTTTTGTGGAAATGTGTATAGAAATGTGTCCAAAAGCTGTGCTTAATTTTGTTTTTGACAAAACTTTATCCAACTGGCTGGCCAGGAAAAGCACAGTTCAAGAAACTTTGTAAAATTCATTTCAGCTGAAACTCAGGAAATTATATGAAGGACAGAACATATTCTGTTGTGTTCCTCCTGCAGAATACTAGTTAAAAGAGGTTAACAGAGGAGTACACATATGTTAGGGTAGCATGAGGCAGAACTTTTCTTTTCAGTTAAATTTGAAAATTTTACTTTGAAAGTTCAACATTTATTCAATATTTCTAATTTACTTTTTTGTCTTTTCAATGGGAATTTATTGTCAAAATTCCATCATTTGCAGTACATGACAAGGATCAACTCTCAGAAGGAGAACATTATAAGCCAAATTTGGCAAATGTTGTCTAACAGACTTGTCCCTTGCACAAATCAAGTCCGTTAGACGGGGTTGACTGTATTCACTTTTTTAAAATCCATGAACAAATTATATCTGTCTGACTCATGAAAACCTGAATGGTGCAAACAAGCTCAGCATGCTTGAATTTCCCTTCAAATGCGTTTCTTTTCAAAATTCAGCTCAAAGAATTGTAACAGTAGGGTAGTAAAGTCCCAACTTTATTGACCAGGAAATTCCCATCCATCTCATGAATTCATCCATTGCCTTCTGTGGACTCAGTCCCACAGAAATCTCGCATTGGAAATTTCGGTTGCTGTTTATATATCCCGGGAAACCCTGTTCACATATTCACCATTCAATAACCCAGCACAGAATAAAGCCCAGACACTTCTGGGCTTCAATGGACAGTGTGTGTCTTTGGAACTTTGAGAAAGAAAAAAAAAGTGTAGCTCTGTGATCCAAGGTTTCTTTGCTGACTCAGGTTCTGGCTTATTGCGATCAAAGGCTTCTTTTATATTGTGCAGTGTCATTGGAAAATAGTGAGCAAATATGTACGCATGGAGACTGTGGGCCTTTTGTGCAGTATTTTGCTGTGTTGTGTGGTTTGGAATATCAACATTGCTCAGCAGTTACAACAATTATGTGGTACAGCGTCTTGACCTTCCAGCACCACTGCACTAACCTCTTTTACTTTTCGGTAACACAGGAGACCACAGGAACAGTACCCCACTCAGTAAACTTACTTGTAATGTACGGAAGACGACACTAAAAGTCGTAATAATTTGTTTAATAGTTAAAGGTAAAGTTATGAATTTGCAGGCACTTCATCATTAAATAAAATTATAAGTGTCCTTTATTTATGAATTTGAATGCATGTATTTTATTCTAATGCTTATTTTCAGCATTATTAAACAAATTATCAATTTCCATTAGTTATGAATTTGCAGGCACTTCATCATTAAATAAAATTATAAGTGTCCTTTATTTATGAATTTGAATGCATGTATTTTATTCTAATGCTTATGGCATATGTGCGTTGGGGGGGGGGGGAAGCTAAAATGTTTTGAACTTTGCAAGCATTGGCCAGAGGCAATTGAAGCATAGTCATAATATATCCACCTTTGTTTCTGTTTTTTTTATAGGCTTTAGCATGTGTTGAATAGATGTGTGGGAGGAATGTGGGAAAATTTTTTTGAACTTTGTGAATGCTGACAAGCAAAAAAAAAAAGATTGCATATCAATCACATAATCAATGGAAAGTAAATGGAATGTTTTGCTCTGTTCAGAAGCATAATATACACTGTATTGCCAAAAGAAGTTTGTGAACCATACCTTATTATTCTCAATTGGCTTAGCGTGGGTAAGCATCAATCATTTCTACCAGTTTCGACATTAGATTAAATAAGAAAACATTTTGACTTATGTATATATGCCTGCATCTCTCTTCAAAGTATAAGCAATCCTAATTCCAAAACCATTTTTTCAGTTGTCTGGTTCTTTACTCCCAAAGTCAACACATGTGTTCTGTGTACTTTGAATACAAATTTGTATGCCCCTTACTACAAAATGCTTGTGCAAAGCTGCAACCTTTTGTGAAAATGTGTAAAGAAATGTGTCCAAAAGCAGTGATTAGTTTTGTTTGCAATGAAACTTTATCCAACTGCTGACTGGCCAGGAAAAGAACAGTTCAAGAAACTTTGTCAAAATTCATTTCAGCTGAAACTCAGGAAATCAGGTGAAAGACAGAAAATATTCTGTAGTGTTCCACCTGCAGAATACTAGTTAAAACGGTTAACAGATGAGTACACACATGTTGAGGTAGTATGAGGCAGAACTTTTCTTTTCAGTTAAATTTGAAAATTTTACTTTGAAAGTTCAACATTCATTCAATATTTCTAATTTACTTTTTTGTCTTTTCAATGGGAATTTATTGTCAAAATTCCATCATTTGCAGTACATGACAAGGATCAACTCTCAGAAGGAGAACATTATAAGCCAAATTTGGCAAATGTATTCAATATTTCTAATTTACTTTTTTGTCTTTTCAATGGGAATTTATTGTCAAAATTCCATCATTTGCAGTACATGACAAGGATCAACTCTCAGAAGGAGAACATTATAAGCCAAATTTGGCAAATGTTACATGGGAAGAAGTGATCCATCAACACAGAAAAGTGCAGCTTGGAGGCAGCTTTGTGCCAGAAACATGCACTTCAGGTTACAAAATGGCTATGATCATAGCCTACAGAGACAGGGAAGAACATCTCAAGGTTTTCCTCAGGAACATGCATCAGCTCCTGAGGATCCAGCAAGTTGAATATACCATTTTTGTGGTTAACCAAACTGGTATGCATGTTTTTCTTGGACATCTTTCAGCAAACTTTTCAAAAATGATTGATTTTGTATCCTTCAGATGACCAACTCTTCAATAAGGGAATGCTGATGAATGCTGGGGCTTTAGAAGTTGAAAAAATTGGCAACTATGACTGCATCATCTACCATGATGTTGACCTGATTCCTGAAAATAGCAGAATACAATATAGATGCTCTCCATGGCCCATTCATATGGCAACCTCTGTGGAAAAGTTCAACTTCAAGTGAGTGGCTTTGTTATTAAGTAGCTAATTTTTTTACTTAATGGTCTGTTTTGTTTTTAGGAAGCCCCCAATCTTTGATTTTGCTGGTGGAGTGCTAAATGTGCCCAAAGATATTTTGTACTATATAAATGGACACAGCAACAGTTTCTGGGGTTGGGGAGGAGAAGATGATGACATCTATGACAGGTTCATAGATGCTGGTCTTCATGTGATGAGGTATCCACTTGGAGTGGGAAGGTATAGAACACTACCACACCCTCAGGCAAAGGCAAATCCAAGCAGGTACTATTAAAGCAAATACAGTATTTAATTTTTTTGAGCTGCTGAAACCCAATTCTTTGTATTACAGATATGAAGTGCTGAAGAAGGAAGGAAGCAAGAAACATACTGATGGACTTTCTGATGTCAAGTACCATGTGATCCAAACCAGACTGCATGGACTATACACAGTGTTTGATATTAAACTTGAGCCCAATGCTTTTTATGAAGTTTCAAAGGTGCCCTCTCAGACATAGTGGATTTTGAAATACATTTTTATCAATTTTTAGCTCAATTTTGTGTAGTTTCCAGTCATCAAGGGAGACCTGGAAGGTCCATAATAAGAAGGTTATTTGCATTAGCACAAATCAAAAGGGTTTCAAAATAAAACATGGATGCTTTATTCACACAGCAATTTGAGTATTCACAAACATGGAAGCAATCAACAATGAACAAAAAGGAACAACTTGATGCACAAAAGAAAAAATTTGCTTAACTCAGAGGCAGCTTTTTGGACAGGTAATGTTTAGTTGAGTTGGGTTGCTGTTCAGGGACTAGATGAAGCCTGGAATAGTCAGTCACTTCTCATCCTGAAAGCTTCAGCTGTTGATGAAGACCGCTTGCATCTTATTTACAGCAGGTCCTTTTTTCATGGGTCTTGGCAGTTAATACCTAATGGAGGCTGTAATGTATGTTTTTTTCATTGAGAGACATAATTGGCATAGTATCAGTTTGGTTGGACAAAATCAACTGAGATAATTTTCATATGAATACTCACAGGTTGGTGTTTGAATATAGGTGTAAGAGCCACCATGTGCCTTTCCACGCTTCTCCTTGGGTTCTGCAGACTCCAATTGTCTGTGTCCTGATTCACCATGAGCTTCTACATGAACCACTTCTTCCTCCTCTTCTGCCTGTTTGGTTTCTTTTACTTCTTCCCCTTTTTCCTCTACAGAAACAACCTTCACTTCTTCCTCTTTTTCTTGTTCAGCAACAACCTTCACTTCTTCTTCTTTCTCTTCAACAGATTTCTCACTGAGTAAGAATGAAAATGGAGGTTTCCAAGTTTTTAAGCATCATTCATGTGTATCACATTGATCCAATGAAATATGTGCAGTTATGCTGGAAATGTGTCAAAATGGCCAAATTACAGAATGAGCACTTCTAGAAAATGCATGACTCAAACCACAAAGCAATGCATAAAGAATTGAAATTTTTGCAATAAACAGAGCTTTCAGGCATTTGTAAACTTTCAATAATGACCAGTTCAAATCACAATCCAGAAATTGAAGGTACCTGTAATTGGGTACACAATTTTTGAGAACATCGTAAAAACTGGAGCACTTCCTATGCTAAAATTTCATGTGACTCATTCTTGTGCCAGAATGTAATAAGAAAAACAAAAGATGAGAATGTGATTTTGGCCTCAAATGAAAGACATGTTTTCATTCATGCTTGTTTCTATAGTTGATGTCTGTTGCATGATAGTTTGTTCATCTGATTGATTTTTTTTCAAACTTCTCATATACCATATGTAATATAATGGGTACAATTTGAAACTAATAAAAATTCAAATATACATTATTCCCCCTTCATTAGACTAAATCCATATTCTTATGTGATTTTTTTTACCTGAAATAAGCATATGCATCATTGGAGACTTATATTGGATGCTTATACTATATTGAAATACATGTTTCTGAATGTTTCTTATACTGAGGCACATTTTGTTCAAGGGCAAGTGGAACTCAAATTAATCTGCTGAATTTACAGTTTGAGGCACTATTACATATGGATTTCAAAAAGCAATAGAATATTGGATTTACATCACTTACCTCACTTTGTGTTCTTCTGAAGCTTCTTCATACCTGACCAATTCTTCATGGCTAACAGCTGGTCTTTCTTCCACATACTTGGGTCTGGAATGGTACCTGCCTCTGGATTCCTTGACAACATATGCAGGTCTGCTCTTCTTTTCATATCTTGGCCTGTATTCTACACTCTCATACTTGGGCCTGTACTCTACACTTTCATATTTGGGCCTGTACTCAGTCCTGACATACTTTGGCCTGTATTCTTCACTCTCATATCTTGGCCTGTGCTCTTCACTTTCATGTTTTCCATAGACAACAGTTTCATGTATGTAGCTGTCTGGCTTTTGCACCTGATACTCAATTTCATGGGACTCTTCATCCCTGTAGTTGTAGCTCTTGTGTTTCTTGCTGCTCCTGTACACAACTGGTACTGGGGTTGGGATGATGCGGAGATTGATCTCTGGAAGGGACAAAGCTGGTTCCTCAGCACTGACTTCAGGTTCAGGAGTTTTCAGTTCTGCCTCTTTTTCAACTGCCTTTTCATCAGCTGCCTCCTCTTCAACTGCCTTTTCTTCAACTGCTGCCTCTTCAACTGCTGCCTCTTCAACTTCCTTTTTCTCAGTGTTTGAGGGGATGTAAAACTTGGCATGTTCCTTGGAAGAAGATCCACTTGCTGCTTCTGAAATGTATGATGAGATATTTTGAATGAGTAAAGAAAGATGTACTAGAAAGTATGAATGGATCCTGGCAGGGGTTCCAGAAACATGCAAAAACATGCATGCAGGAATTCCACAGTGAAAATAAGGCAGCATGTAACTTTTGTGTTGACCAGCTAGCTCTTTCATGATGATGAATAACACATTTTTGTTTCCTGTTTCTGGAACCCAGCCAGGTGAGGTGGTCTCACTTATTTCAACACTTTCTTCCTTTTTCTTGTACTGCTTCTTTACTGGTTGATATTTGATCTTTGGCTTTTCCACACTCTTGATCCTGTAGACATTAACATGCACAGGTTGCCTGGATTTGTGAATCCTAGCCTGGACCCTGTGATTCTTGGAATGTGACTCTTCACTGCTTTTGGACAACTGATTATGTTCCTTTGACTCTGATTCTTCTTGAGAAGAGGATGAGGAAGAGTAAGTAGATTCATCTGAGAGGGACTTGGAACATCCTGAACTGCCACCATCCCCAGTCTCAGCTCCATCCTCTTTATCCTCACAGCTTTCTTCAGATGAAGAAGAGTGGGAATCTGATTCTGACTCAGTGGAACTTGATTCAGATGAGTCACTAGATCCTTCTTTTGCAGCTGCTTCTTCTGCAGCAGGGGCTTCTGCTTCAGCATTTCCTCCTTCCACCTCAACTGCTTCTGCCTTTGTTGGTTCTGGCTCTGGTTCTGCCTGAGGCTCTGGTGCTTTTTCTTATGTGATGTTTAGTTAAAGGGAAAATCAAGGCATGAGAAAAGTGATCTTTACAGTTGGCTGGGTTCCAAAAACATGACAAAACTGCACTTGGGCCAATCAGATGCTAAGTGATTGTCTGCCTTCCATTGTGTGTAACCTGTATAAATAGGCTTTTTTCTGGGATCCTGCATTGGTTAAGATGAATACAACCTGTATAAATAGGTTAAAACAAATAGATCCCATGTAAATTGGTTAAATGGGTAGAAACCCTGGTAACAGTTTTAAGAAATGTAACCTGCATAAATAAGTTAAATGCACAGAGGATTTGTGAAAGGGTTAAATAAATTCAACCTTTACAAATATGTGACCAAGGTGAAATCCACTACAGAATAGAGTGATCAGTCAAACAATTTCAAGCAGAAAGAACAATGAACAAGTGTCCAATGAAAAATAGCTCCAACTAATAAAAAAACATACCCAGAGCAATAAACTGCACATTAAGATTTGTAAAGGTACATTTTAGTACAGTTTTTGGATGAAGGTTGATGCCCAATAAAATAATGAATGACCCCCAAAGTGGTAACCATGCATTGAATTGAAGTAAAAACTGTTTGAGTAGCAGCACACACTTTGATTGGCCATGAACTTCTCATTGATTTGACAAACCTGGGACATTGTAACCACTTGACACAGGCACATTATATTTGGATGCCTTAGGCAGGGAGTAAGTTGGCCTGCGCACATGATGCTTCTTGTGGTAAGATGGCCTTGATTCTTCTGATGGAGCTGATCTGTGGCTCTGAACGAGTTTGTAAGTGGGCTGGTGGTAACTTGTCTTGACAGTGTGATGTGGTGCATAGCCACCATAGACTGGAGGTGAGTGCTCATGTGATTCTGATGATTGATGACCTACATGTTGTCCATATGCATTGATTGGTCTCCAACCCCCATATGACACCTTCTGTGGGCGAATTGCACCATAGGACGCTTTCTGTGGCTTGGAATAAATCTTCCCATAAGAAGGATAGGTTGGTTTGTGGTGGGAAGTAGAGTATCTTGCTGCTGGTGGAGAGTATCTTGGTTTGCTTTCCCTCTTGTAAGATGGTCTCTGCTGGTGGACAACCGGCCTGCTGCTGTGCTCAGCCTTTTTGTTCGGCTTGATCACATAAGTCCTTGTCTTGGTGGTGATGGCTGGCTCCTCTGCCACAGGCTATTCATATTAATTGGATTCAAATTTCTGGATGAAAATTGAACACAATGGATAAACTCACATCAGTGCTCACAACAGCAGGCTCTTGGCCCTCTTGTCCATGTTTGATGACTCCATTGACTGGATCCAGTTCAACATTGAGCTTGTTGTTGTCTTGAGACTCCACAATCAGCCTGCCATCTTCCAGCTGGTTGATGACAAACTTGATCTTGATTGGATCTGACTTCTTTGATATCTTCTCCCCTGCTACCTTGATTCCTTCTCTTTTCTCAACATTAGGGGTACCAGTTTCTACTGCTTCTACAGGTATTCCACCAGCTGCAAAAGAGTGTTTCAAATGAGATCTCTGAAAACATATAGGCATCTACAGCATTCTCAAAAAGTGTATCAAATGTAAAAGGTTCAAGGTAGAATAGAATCACTTTGATGTACCCTTGACCATTCATATAATCAAGTACCTCCATATATGTACATGGGCATGGTACAGTACTTTAATCATGTGTGGAACTAAAAGATGGCATACAGAATGTATGCATTTGATAAAAGAGGACTTGTTCAGGTGAAATTTGCTGCAGAAAGAAATAATGGCAGTACAGTAAGTTGAAAGTAAAAGTACCTTCTGCAGCTCCTGCTGCAGCTTCAACTCCACCCAAGCCAGTGGTGGCTACTTCAACTGCAGGTTCTGCTGGTTCTGCCACTTGAGGGGCTGCTGAGACAATGTTGCTGATCAGCAACAATGAACACAGTACCTGTGAAGGATATAAGTTCATTGAGCAGATTAAAGATTATCACTCACTTATTATATGGTTAGGATATATGAAATACCAATCTGTAAACTGGGGCAACAAATAAAATGTCCTGAAAAATAATGCTTATTTGAATTGTATACTATTGAGGACAGAAGTCTCCAATATAATTTAGTGTCGAGTGTTAGATAAATGAAACAAATTAATCAGTCTGGGACAGGACCAGGATTCCTTATAGAAATTCCTAGTTTAAGAGTAGAATATATAAGTCCTTATTTGTTCATTTGTTTGTTGTTGAGTTACTCGAGCCCGAACTTATTGAACCTTATTTACGTGTCGACTTAACGTTGACTAGATTACTCTTTCATACTCCTACGCCGAATATATTATAAGTCAATAAACAACCTTCATAAGGTTTTACTATTCTGATGAAGACAGGAAAAAGTAATTGTCAAGGATGCTATGGTGCCAGGCACATCCTGACACCGTAGCAGGTACCAGGATGTGCCTGGCACTGCAATTTTGAGGAGGGGAGGATTTTTCTACAAACTTTAGGTATTATATTGTACGTTAGCATGCATGCCCAATATATACCTCATATTCATGTAAAATTGTTGAGATGCTATGTGCAGTTTGAGCTCCCACCAGTGTTGTTCAATTGAAATTGCCATTATATTCCCTCATAGTTTGCTGAGTTCTATGTACATTTATGATTTGTAGATGAGGTTCATTTCTGATTTTAAATTCATCAATCAGATTCAACACCTTTATTATTTGAAAAATCCCTGAGACTTACCTGCAAAACATGCATTGAAACAATGTTCCATATGGGTCCTATAAAAATTTTAAAAATTCATTACAGAACAAAAGAATTACTCCAGGGACTGTCAATATTTCAAAAGACAGTAATTGCACATTTCCAACCAATAAGTGGAGTCTTGTTTCAACAACAATTTTAATAAACTAATAGTTTTCAAAAGAATTGTTTGAAGTTGCTGCAGTATTAACACAGTATTGTTTGATTCTCAATTCAAAAATAATGTAATATCAAAACGAAAGATTTCTTCAGGTATGAATGATTTTGAGGCATCAATATAAGGCATTTATTTGTTGGTTGACATTCATTATTTGAAGAGGCTGAAGTATAAATTGGACAATGGTGCAATGAGACTTGGAACCTCTGCATTCATTTTTGAGGTTAGCAATAAATAATTGCATCCAACTGTATATATTAAATGACTCATTGTGTGCTTCTGTATTTTGGTGAATGTGAACCATTGTGAAAATGGTTGCATCCATCACACTGATTTATTTGTATGCCACAGTGAAGAAAAAAAGGTCTTCTAATGGTTGATTGGCTATCATCATCAAAGAAATTTGTTTTCTAGGTTTCAATGCCTTGATTGCAAAAGTAATATTTTAAAATTGAAGTTTATCACTTGAACAGTCACTGGGGTAGAGTTTTTTTTTAATTTTACCATGAGACTGGGAACTTCACTTACCAGCAGTTACCATCCATGGTCATGAATATTCTTTTTTTAAATCTAAGATTGTGTTTTTCTGTATGTTATTAGATGTGGACCATTGTCAAAATGGCTGATCTCACTGATTTATTCTTATGCGTAAACCCTAACCTCACTCTTTTTCACAAGGTAACTAACTCTCCAGTAGTAGTGTTCCTTAAACAAGTCCAAAGTTACTGAACCAACGTTTTCATTATGAAGTTTCAACTTCAAATGTCAGTGACCCGTAGAGTTTGGCTAATTTTATCATGAGACTGGGAACCTCTACCTTTTACTTTTCAGTCATCATCCTAATGAATAATACTGTTGTTGAATCTAAGATTGTGTGCTTTTACATGTTATTGTATGTTCACCACATTGTCAAAATGGCTGCATCCATCACACTGATTTATTTTTTTTATGTCACCCTGATGATGGGGATTGGAGTGAGAAAGGTTTGTCTGGTTGATAGATCATCATCATCATGAAGCAATCCCCTGAGGGTAAAATCTCAGCTAATTGGGTCTCCAGCAACAATAAGGTAATGGTTCATTCGAAACAGTTACGTCAATTCCTCACGGTTATAAGTGGGCGGATCATGACCCAAGTTCCAGGTCGAGTGGAAAACTTTATTCCCATTATAATGAGCCTGTAGCTTGAATGACGTGACGTCACACTAGGGTTCTTATATATATATATTGATACCCGGAAGAAAAAAAAATTCCCGGACAGGTCAAACACTTTTTTTTTATTCCCTTCAATTTTTTTTAAATATCCGGGTGATGAAATTGTATAGATAAAAATAACGATTGGGCGGGAAGTTGCACAAGTGGTTCAGGTGAATGTGAATCCTGTGTATAATTCGGATCCGAGCCAATTAACGACTCCTCGAATGACGTAATGGACGGAATATTGTAATGGAACCAGTTTCGAATCAATGTCAAAACCGCGGTTTTTTTTCTTAATTCCCAGTGGGAACCGTTTTCTTTTATTTTATTTTTTTTCTGAAGCGGAAATTATGTCGACATCATTGTCGTCAAGCCTTTTCCGTAAAAGTACTTGTAAAGTCGCCCCCTTAATAAAGGTCGTCTCTAATAAATAACTACCTGACACTTTGTTTCCCATTTTCACAACTGTCACGACATAAAAAATATCCAAAAAAAAAAAGATATTTTGCTGAAGTTTCCTTCTTTTTTCTGGAGGTAACTTATTCAAATTATAGCGAAAAACTGAAGAAATCTACGATCATTTGTCGCCGTCATAAGGAAAGTTTCACGAAATCCCGGATCTATATTTTTAATCAACATAAATGTGAATTTTAACGATTTTCTAAAATCTTGAATATTATTGGGACAACTATAACTATATTCTCCTAATTAAAAAAATTGGTCCTGAAAATTAAGATTTATTTCTGAGAGGCATCGGAGAATTTATCCGTGGACATTTTCTGAGTCAAATCCCAAAATTTACAGAAATTACGGACTTAGAAACTGAATTCCAGAAAAGATTCAAATTCTTGATACCTTGCCCATGAAGAAAATATCAGTCAATCGAAAAATGTCTCGATATTTGAGAATGAAAATTAATCTGGAATCAGAGATAATTTTTTTTCTGCGTAAACTTTTCTGAAATTCCAACCGAATTTCATAATCCTCTACAATGCTATATATACTAAGAGAAAAAATAAAGTGACAGGAGACGTTTTGAAATTTGAGGATCATTTTGTGTTTTTACTAATGGAATTTTAATGTGGGCAGGTTTTTTTTCGAAGTATTTTTGTCAAATTTTCTTCATAAAACTGGCCCAAAGGCTTATACATTCCCTCGTGTTTGGCAGTAAAAAATTCGGAAGCTTGAATATGAATGAGAAATGGAAGATTAGATGTTCTTTTTCATAAAATATACAGTATTTGAAATTTTCTTATATTTCTTCTAGTTTGAATATATCCATTGATTTGGAAATATATTTTAGAGACGAAACTTATTCCCATACCCCGAAAACAAAGCGGTTTAAAAACCAATCATTCGGTTTTTTTTTCTCTGTTCAGCTTTTGAAAATTGAATTCTTGTCAACACGCAGTTTTCTAGTCAATTCTAGCCTCTTTAACTGGAATCATCTTCATCTTATACTTGGAATAAATTTATAAAAAAATTTCTGAATACGTTGTAAGCCTCGCTTTATTTATGATCAAATCAGACAATTTTTATCCTTGTTTCGAATCCCATCTGAAAATATTCAAATCTTCAAAGGGTTTAATTTATCTTACAAAATAATGTACGCAGAATTTTCCACACATGTAATAACTATATTCCTTCGTATTTTCATTTGAAAATGATGAAAATTCTTCTATGTTCTTCTACAGAGATATTACTATAAAAAATCCAAGTTCATTCCACTTTCAGAACAAGTCAATAAGTAAGACATATTTGTTGCAAAGAATTGATTATTCAAGTATTTATTTTCCAAGCATCAAGAAGAGGATTGGATCAGATAAGTGAACATACAGTACATAAATTTTGAAAATAGGACTCACCAACAACTTCATTTCGCTTATGATTTTGTTGTCACAAGACGTTTGAAGACACTTTCTGGAAAAGAAGATGAGGATGAATGTCGAATTTCTCTATTAAATAACCATGGGAAAATTTAGATTTTCACATGTATTCTCTGGCCTAAACCTAAACATTTCTCAAGATTAAGTCAATAAAAATTAGGATCATATTCTAGATGAATTTTCTGTGGCTATTCAAATATTTTGCTTTAAAAAAACGCATTGATGAATAATTATTAGATTTGTTTGCAGATCACATTATTGACATTTTTGGCGGTCAAATTATTGAAAAATAAATCTGGGAAAGGATTTTCTTTCCTGAAAATTTTATTTAAAATTTCAATTTTTTAATCTTAGTCTGGTTGAATTATATTTCCTGTTTTCTGCTAAAATGCGATCATATCATCAATAAAGTCTTTGCTAATCCGGTACTCGATTTAGTCAACAAAGAAGTATACATTTGAATAATCCAAAATTAAACTCAAAATGAAATCCTGCATTCAGATTCTGGAATTCTAAATATAGCTCTCAAAAATCATGATCTGAAGCCTTTTCTTTTTATCGATTATTCTAAAAGTTCAGATTTCTTGGGTAATTTTGGAATAAAATATTGGCCACTGCGAGAAACAAATAAATATTTTGAAAACTCAAAGATATTGACAAAATCAACGAGGAGTGAGTAATTTTGCGTGAAGGTAAACGAAACCTTCATTAAATGAACCTGCTAATAATAGTAAAAAAGGTCTATTTGGAAAATATTGCAGATTTCAAAAAAAAAAAATATTTTTGCAATGTGTCGAACCTTTAATTTGAGCCGCCCGAAAAAATGACATACATTCACTTAAAAACAAAACAAAAATGAAACAATGGAAAATTAAATTTCCTCGCAAACAGAAATTCCACTCGCCTAATTCAAAAAAAAAAAAAATCACTGGGTAACCTTTTTTTCTTCTCCTTCTTCTTCGTCTTCCCTTACGAATAAAGAGAAAACAGTGACCTGAGATATGACCCCAGAGACGACTGCTGAGTTATTCGAAGCGAGGTCGGGTCTGAGTCAAACGTTG